CGGTATCTTCCCCTACCCCCCCCCCCGACCTAGACACGCCACTGCCAAGGAAAGCATGGTATCTATTGATAAAAAGCATTTGTTTTTAATTAAACAATAATGCACCTGTTTTTTTTTTGTATTTGTCAGTACAGTGATGCATATTTATATTCTATTTATTCACAAACTTGAATCTTTTATGCCAAGTTGTGTGAAATTTTTCATATTTCTTTACTTTTGGGGATGATCCACAATACACTTTCGCCATGTGGCTATAACTTGTTGTTTGTCAATACCTACTAGGGAAGCTCTCAGTTTGAAACTCACTTGATTGTACTTATCAGTGTCTTCATTCAGAGAGAAGACTAGCCCAAGACTTCGTACAGCAACCTCCCTCACACTGTCTGTCTTATCTTGCAGAAGCTGCTGTAACATGGACAGCACCAAGGAACTTCGAATTTCATTCTGCAGGTTGACAAGAGAATGCTGATGAGATTCCTCAGTGAAATTCAAACACAGAGAGGCCAATTTTCCCTTCAGTTTTTAAATGCATTTGTACATTGAGTCATTTTAAAAAAAGAAAAAAAAGGGCAACCCACAAGTAGACAAATCTTTTTCTAACAGTATTCTCTGAGAGCATTTATTCTAATAGTGGTTTTTCCAGCTCTCCAATGATTGTTGAAAGAATATCAGAGCACATTTTGGCATTTGATACAAAAAACTTCTGACCAAAAAACTCTTGAAAAAAACAAATGGACAACCAATGAATCACCAAAATATTATTCAACCAACAGACTTAGTCACACGTAGTCTTAGCCATACTGAACTGAAAGCAATGAAAACCCTGCATTTTGGGAGCTTTTGGGTAGAAAGGGAAAAAACTACAAATAAGTACCTTTCTACCTGATAAATAATATAACACTTGTGATTTGAACATACCTTAAAATGTTGAGATACTTTTTTGAAATGAAAGTGAGGCTTGGAAACCCTCCAATTCAACATTTGACAATTCATAAGATGTACTCAGGAAACACGACTGAAAATGACATTGTCATGACTCAGACCAACCACCAAAACAAAATCATGACTGGCACATGCATTCTTAGCTGAAGTTCAGTACAAAATTTGGAGCTTTTCCAAAATGATTGTTCTACCCCTGAGATGATAATCTTATGAATAGAGTCATTTGAGCTCTGCTCATCTTATAAATAAGGGTAATCAATTTGAACAATGACAAAACAGGTGAAGCACCCACCGGTAGGTACGGGGCTAGGGCACCACAGGACTCTGCCACCAGCTGCCTCCTCTCAGGGAACTTGTGCGTGATCTGCTCCCAGCACTGCGGTAACAGTTCAGCCTCCGCTCGCTCGGGGCCAACGTACTTGGCAAATGCCACACAACCACCTAGGATCACTTGCCTGTCGTCAAAAATGCAAAGTTATCAAGCATTATGGACCTTTCCCATGAAATACGGCAGGCGCATGCGCATTACTACCAATGGTTGGCAAAGTTGCTTAAATCAATGACCTAACGATACAAATCTCCACATAAACACAACTGTGAGCACATACCCGCTGCTTCTGTACTAGTGTAGTTTGACATGAGTATATAATTTAAAGACAAGGAATGGTTACTTTCCAGCCTCAGGCCACTGCCACCTTCACTTAGTTTCGAGAAAAGTGTGCTAAGTATTGGACAGAGGCTGTAATACAGTTTTGATTGACCATCAGCACACCAGGTTATGGTTACAGCAGCTATCCTACACTACCTGACAGTGCTGATGGCCACACCTGCCAACCAGTGCTAGTGGTGCGCATGCCCCTGTCTAATTTGCTCATTTCATGGGAAAGGTCCATTACGTGATCATCTTTCTCGATCATAGTCAGTAAATTTGGCTGCATTTCATGAAATAATTTTCGTATATGGTAAATGATATTTACCTTCATAATAACCAAACAAAAGAGTGAACATTAGGTTCCAATAAACTGAACTTGTTTGGATTCAAAGAATCTAGGAGGATTTCGGTTCAATAATTTGCACTTATAAGAGGAACAACTGCTGCCTACCTTTGTTCTTCATCAGGTTTCTTGATCAAATTGAAGAGCAAATTGAGGAGTTTGTCTCTCTCATTTGGTTCTGGGTGGAGTGTGACCGTGCACACGATGAGTGGAACCAGCTCCTATTGACAAAAACAATTAAAAAGGGTTATGAATATTCATTACCGTCAGTGATGCAGTGTCCCTCCAACCAACGTACCTTGTGAAATTTAATCTTCCGGGAATGCCATGGGGCATTCACAAATGGCACGGTGTGGTCTAGTCGGAAGAGCCAAGCAAGGGCAAGTGATGCAGCACATTTGGGCAACTGAATACCACCAGCATGCCCATTCTGAACTTAACATCTCTGCACCGGAGGTACCCACCTCATCGTAGAAGCAGGGTAGAAATGGCACCTGTTCACAGCAAACAGTTCGCATCTTCCCTGCTAACTGCATGATTATCTACAGACTTCATGCTGGTGACAGATACTCCAAAGGCAGACCTAGTATCCACCTTGGCATTTGCTACATGGACCATTTCTGCCCTCCATCTCCCCTCCCCTCGGGCACCTACCTCCCTCTTAGCAATGAGGACGTTGGGTACAATGTGAGGTAAGCAACGGGCAAGCATCTGCACCACACCAGCCCCATCCTCTGCAATGCGCGATACCTCTTCCCGTAGGCGTGCCTGGGTGACATCTCTCACAGGCAAGACGGCTTCATTGACGGCCCGTTCAAATGGGCTCAATTCCCTACAAAGTAAGATTGTAAAACCTCACTGTCACAAAGCAAAACTGTCAGCTGTATGCAACTGGATGCTATCATTAGGTTCAGAGTCCTCAAATGTATTTAACCTGGGGTCATTTTGAGGCCAAGTTTCTCTTTACAGATTTGCTTGGGTGAAACAAGAATTGCCATCCTTTTTTCACTAGAGGTGAACTTTGACTGGATCTTGCTTCAAACAGTGGCTACTTCACAAAACATTTCTTACTAAAAATTCAAACCGCCCTGTCAAGTGCTTTTTGTTCTTCTTTGGATACGCATGATCTTTCTAGACCTGAAATGAACTTTACAACTGACTAAATGATTGTCAAAAACTTCACTGACAACCAATCTTTTCTGTAAAGAGACAAAAGCTAAAAGCTATCTCTATCCCTTGACAGGCTTCTTGACTAGGAACACTGCTAAAACCAACAACATGCAACGGTTGTTAAACTGAAAAGCCCCTTCAATATGAACAAGATGCAAATAAGGTAAATAATGCCCCAAGGCCAGACAGCATCAGAAAGTGAGGTTGCAAGCTACCTCAAGATCTAGCAATGACACAGTTCAATGTAACTAGCTCCATCACTTGGAATAGAGCAGCTCTATGCTTGCCTGCTCAATGGTTTACATAGTCCCAATACATCAACACACTTGTTGCACCCTTGCAAGGTTGCTCAAACTGGTCAAGACTTTACTTTTATGGCCTAACAGCGCTATCTCCACCAACCTCGTGGATGCATTTCTTTCGGCCTGCTCCTCACGCCCGTCAGTGACGTCCCCCGGTATTGTGGGCATGTGGCCTTGCCTGTCAGCATCTTCCTCAGGTAAGTTGCTGGCCAGGTCGGCCATGTCTTCCCCGTTCCCAGCACTCTCACTGTCAGTTCTGTCAGTGTGAGATAAGTCAATCGAATTTTATGAGTCCCAGTAAAATCACAAAATCAAATCGGAGACCCCTTGTTTTGAGTTCAGGGTTGAGCAGGTGTGCTTTTTTACAATTAGCTTTCAGTGATACAGTTGACTGCCAAAGACCAGTTCCGGTCTTTGGCAGTACGTAGGCAGTGTAGCGGTGCCTATGCAGTGAGATCAGATTTCATTTTCTCCACCTTGTACCTGGGTTTTGGACCACTTCCTGCCTCCCTGACCATCGAGCCAGCGGCTGGTGCTTTATGTGGTGTACCGACAGGGCTCACACCGGGAGTTGAGGTTTTAAGTAACTGTAGCGCATCGAGATCTCTGCAGTGATAATACAAGCAAAATCAAGTGACAGAGTTGGCTACACAGACAGTTGTCACCTCACTTGCTATTTCTATGGGCGGCCAAAGTTTGCAGGAATACCACCATTGGTTGGTGTTATCATTTCTTTTAAAAGAGGGTCCATTTTCATTTAGTAGTAGTTTCTAATATTTGATTTCTATTCGGGATTTTTTAACACGTAGTAAACTATACTTTTCTTTTCTGCCAGTTTTACCCACCGCTAGTAGGTAGAAATGCTACTGAAATCAAAAGAGAGCGTACCCTGAAGTATGCAAAATTCATCTTGTGACCAATTTTACCGAGAGTAAGCAGAATTTGGACCATACATCCAATATAATACTAACTTTTGCATGTTCTGCAATTGTTCCTTGAGAGTTTGATTTTCATCAGTGTAAGATGTGAGTTCCTCTTGGAGTTGAAGGACTTGTGATTCCTAAAAAAAAGGAAAGGAAACTTGCTTCACAACCCTTTATCTATTAAGCCTTTTCCCATCTTTCATCTGCTCCAAGCATGCTAAAAATTAATCTAGTGACCACAACCACGGCCACTTGAAGTGTGAAAGCAGGCACAAATGATATGCCAAACGCAATGCCTCCACTTTAGGAAGCACAGCGACATACACACAAATAGAGGAATCATCTTGGTGAAATCTTTTGATACAGGTGTTTCACAACAGTGCCCCACCAAGAGTTTGCAATGCGTTGGCCAATCACAATGCGTGAAATGTATTGATCCTTTCCACATGTGCACTGCCAATCGACATTTGCTGATGTGTCAACCCATTCAAATGCACACTGTGTACAATGGCCACCATGCCGTGTTGCAAACTCTTGGTGGCGCACTATTATGAAACGCCCATATTGTGGGCATCTGATCATTCATCAAGATGATGGGGTCAAGTTGTATTTCAGTTCATTTTTAATGTAAAGCCCATTTTCTAAAACATTATCACCTTCTAAAACACAAAGACAGCAAACAACAGAAACTTGTATAAACTTACTAGACACAAACTCTACTCCGTTCTACAGCCCTACCTACTTCTTCAAACTCAAAATTTTTCAGAACTCTCCAGCTTCCCATTTGCCAAACATTTCTAAATTGACTCAAAATCCACAGATAAGTCATACCCTGTATAAAGAAACTGCCCATGTTGTCAGTACTCAATCAATTTCTCATAGCCTGCCTCTCGTCTCCAAAAACTCACCAACTTCTGTCTCTCCTCGTCTATGGCCATTCCGAGGTCTGCTTCCACTTCCTCTGACTGCTCTGCCAGGATGCTGTCCTCCCCGCATCCCACCTCTGCTGTCTCCTTGGCAGGGATGACATGCCTACTGTAGTCCCTGTACAGATGCAGTAGGTCTGGCGGGCGGGAGCGATTCAGGCCAACATCGTCCCAGTCATCAAAATCCTTATTGCAAACAAAAGGACACATCTCCATGGATTTTTGATCAACCCTTCTTATGAAGCCTTTTCCTCCTGAACAAAACTTTTTTATCTTGCCTTGTGACATCTTTCTTTATCTGATAGGGGGTTCACTGATGTATGCAAAGATTAACAAACATTGGGGTAGACAGTTTGTAGATAATTATACTAACATGGAGTGCCCACGGTTACACCATGGACGCTCCAGTGCAATATCTATTTACTGGGAGCGATGAAATGGCCGGTTTCCATTCACTGCAAACAATAACAAGTGTTGGTCATTCCAACTCTACGGGCCAAGGTGTAGATGTATTGTAAACACTACACAAACCGTAGATGTATTGTAAACACTACACAAACTGTAGATGGACTGTAAACACCACACAAACCTGTTCCTCATTCTCATCGCAGAAAGTGATCGAAGTGAGTTTATAGTCATGTTGCAGTAGAAACTCATTGATGAGAAAGTTGAGAGCTCGACGCTCTAAAGGTTTCATTGTATCCTATCAAATGAAAGATAAGTTGGTTATACAAACACTGACAAGTGCAAGGGTGCTGACAATGGTCAAGGGGTGTCTTTACAAGGGTACCAAACTGAAACAAATAAAACAAACGGAGACCTCAGGAGGAATAAAGATTGCAGGGTATAAACCCTATTCCTTCCATATCTTTCAGAGTCCATATGAAGGTCTTGGAGGATTTTGCAGGATCTAAGAAAGCCCACGTCAACCAGTAAAACTTTACACGGAGATTCACATCCCTTGAATTATGAAGAACAGAGAATGTGTTATTAGATTCTGTATAATGGATGACTTTAGAGGGTTAAGGAAGATTTCAAAAAAAGGACCGGCAAGTCAAGGTAAGCATCATTAATACAAATTCTCAAGCACGCATATTTTTTTAAATTTCAAATGACACAAAATAGCATGAAGACATTACCTCTGCAATCACGCCTTCAGCTGTCTTATTGGTGTGAATTGGTGATGGAACTTCACTCTCTACAACACAACAGAGAATTGTTTCAATAAGGATGGTATCAGCTGAGATATCTGATGGAAGTTTCCTTAGTAAGTCCCCATTCATCTGAAACCACATTTCTTTAAGGTCAATACCACACTTATGTCAAGGCTTAGATCAAAATAATGAAGTTATAAGCAGCACTTGGAGAACATGTAGATCATTTTCAATGTTTGTCAAATCTGAAGAGAAATGCCATTGTTAAACAATAGTCACGCTCTGTCATATTATGTTTTTCATACTGGGTGTTTTGGCCCTGAACTTTGCTGATGTACTGTATATTTGTAACCATACGCTGCCAGGTTTAATTTGAAGTAGCATGACATCTTCCCGATGGATTTTCATTTTCATTAACTTCATTTACTGGATGTTTACACCTACTGAATGACTCTCTGGTGGCTACTCTAATCTGACAGACAACATTTATTGATGCCCGAGTATTTCAGCCAGGCCCGCCGCCTTGTAAAGAGAGCCCAGATTGTGCAGAGTGACGTAATTTTCTTTTGTTCCTGAAACTGGCTGAGCGCGCTGCTGGCGTCTTGTCAAATGCAAACCAGATTAGCATGCAGCGGTACTATATCGCTCATCCCTGGAGCGCTGAAGCACTTTTGTCCCTGGTGGTAATCCACTCGTGCTAAATGCCAAAAACAGTGGTACAATTGTTCAAAGCAATGACAGATTCCTTAGCTATTGAAAACTGAAAAAATGTTGGCAATTTCCAGCAGCCCGGTCTTTCGTTCTGAGTACGATCTTTTGTTACAAGGCCAAGCTCCCTTGTCTGATTTCGGGCACCTTGGCTTTGCATATAAAGCCTACGTCTCCGTTACCAGGCACCCCGGCACGAAGCGGTTAAACAGTATACTCAGTATTGTCTGAGGACTGGTGAAAAACTATACAAGCTTGAATACGGGATTAATCTTCATTTCTAGAACCATTTTTTGGCAACATTTTGTTTCAGGATTCCAATGTTTCAAGAAGAAAGAATTCTTATGTGAATCATATCTGTTGTAGTTTCATAGTTTTTCAAGACAGCAACAAACTTCTCAATTGACATGTTGGAACATCAGGATTTACAAAAAGTCGGGCAATGTCTAAATCTTGTGTCTGGAGTTATTAGTCTGACGCAGACAACAGGCAAAGCCAAAGGCTTGGAACCAAATTCTGACAAAACAATCCACTGCATTAGAATTGTTCTGATGGAAAGGATCATATTTGTTGGCTTCTGATGGAAGTTCCTTTAACCACTTGCCGCCGGGGTTTCCAGTACCAGACACGTATTCGTGGTCTCCGAAATCAGACAAAGGGAACTGGGCCTTGTAACAAAAGACCGTACTTGTAACAAAAGACCAGGCTGCGGGGAATTACCTTCTCAATAGTGGAGATAATCCAGCCCTGTTTTGAAACATTATACCAAGGTTTGGGTCATTTAGTGTGAACGGATTACCATCGGGAACAAAAGAGCTCCACCACCGCAGTGATGAGCCACACAGCATTGCTGCATGCTAATCTGGCCCCTATTGAAAAGAGGTCAGCAGCACACTGTGTCAGTTTCGTGAACAAAAGAAAATTACAAAACACCGCAAAATCTGGACTCTTTTTACAAGGCAGCAGGTCTGGCTGAAATACTCCAGCGTCAATAGATGTTGTCTGTCAGATTAGAGTAGAACCAGACAGTCCTTCGTGTTGGTGTAAATGTCCAGTAAATGAAGATAGGAATTTGAAAAGAATTTTGATAACAGAAAAAAATGATAATTATCCCGTCCCAGCATCATCAACACAGATAACTGACACCGGCGCAAAGTGGTTAATAAGTCCCCTGTCATTTGCTACTAGATTTCTCTTTAGATCAACTCAGATTGGCTTTAACCACTTCCTGCCGGGGACTCCGGGATCGGAGATGTATGGTTTATATGCGTGGCCGGGGTCTCCGAACTCGGACAAAGGAAACAGGGCCCTGTAACAAAAGACCGCACTCCGAACAAAAGACCAGGCTGCTGGGCATTACCGGCATTTTTCACGCTCAAAAGTGGTGATAATCCAACCTGGTTTTGAAACCCTATACCAGGGTTTGGGGCATTGAGAGCGAGCGGATTACCAACGGGGACAAAAGCGCTCCACCACCGCAGCGATGAGCCACACAGCACCACTGCACGCTAATCTGGCCCCTATTGAAAAGAGGTCAGCAGTGCACTGAGCCAGGTTCGTGAACAAAAGACAGTTATATAACAACGCACAATCTGGGCTCTGTTTACAAGGCTGCAGGCCTGGCTGAAATACTCGGGCGTCAATGAAGGTCACCTATCAACGTAGAGTAGTGCCTAAAGATTACTTCGTGCGGCTATAAACGACCGTTAAATGAAATGATAAATTTTTGAAGGATTTTCAAAACGGAAAAAATGATAGTCATGCCGACCCAGCATCATCAACATTGAAAAATGCCCCGGCACGAAGTGGTTAATGTGTGAAGTCCCTGGTGTCAGGTTGGTGTAGTACCTCTTTCCTTGCCTTTCACGTCTGCAGCCCAGGTTCAATTCCTGGCTCGGTCCCCATGCAGATTGGGTTTTCAGTCCCTACCCAATTCTGTGGATTTTACCCAGAATATTCTTCTGGGGTTTTCCTCCCATCACTAAAACTGTAACTTCTTCTCACTGTCTCTTCTCTACAGGTTTCTTCAGGCTTACGAGCTACAGTGCTAAAGCACTTTGTGGAATCCTTGGTGCCATTACCAGAAAGAATTAATAATAACAATAATAATAATAATACCACACAAATTTCAGTGCTACGATCAAAACTGTGAAGTTATAAGCAGCCCCTGGAGAACTGGAGTAGATCATTGACTCTTTACCAGCTGCCTCGGTGAGGTTGGCCCGTAGCGCCTTGATGGTCTCCTTGGCCTTACGCAGCTCAAACTCCAACACTGCATGCTTGTCGTCAGACTGGTTGATGCCATCATCAGAGTACCTGGCAAGGTCCAGCGAGTCAAAGGTGGTCTCGCTGGAAGTGCGATCTGCAGCAGAACAGAAGGAGGACTTTGAAGCAAGGCCAAAGGGAATCCAGAGAAACAGGGAACAGATAAATAAAGGGTTCTATGAGCAAGAACCACATCAAAGCCACACAAGTGAACCAGGTACCAGTGATTCTGATACAATGAGATTGCTTAACCAGCAGGCATCTGTAGGCAATTGTTCACTTAATCCCTACCAGTAAAATATGTTATATACCTAACCTCAACTCAGTAAGCATCAACATGGCACATTTGGTGACAAAAATGCATCATGCTTGCAAATGCCTACAAGGGCTGTAAGGATTGGCAATCTTCACTTACGTAATGGATTGAGTTGTAAAGAGTTCTCTTGCCGTTCAAAGTTCCCAGGGTTGGAGAAATAGTCCCTGAGACGAAGGAGCTCACGGCCACTCTCAATGAGCTCTGTGTGCATCTCCAATGCCGTCAAAACCATTCGATCCTGCATTAAAAATGTACATTGATTAAAATAAAGCATTTGACCTTCAAAAATATATAACAGCTGAAGAAGCATACAGAGCTGCCCAGTGCAGAAGACTAGACAATGTCAGACTTGGCAGTGGATATTTGAGTGGTTCACAGTTCTGACATGGTTCTGCTGTTGTACCAGCATGGCACTGAACATACACTTAATGCACAATGAGTGTTTTTGGATACTTCCAAATTTCACAGTGGCAAATATTCATGTGATTCCATGCTTACGTTGCCATTAAGAATTCATATTCAAAAGAACAACAGGAAAATGAAATATCCTGCAATAAATTGTAGAAATCAATTTCAAACATAGAGCTATACACAAAAACTAGAGTGCTGACTCATGTACAAAGTGATGCCTGCTGGGCGCATCCAATACAAACCTGTGGAAAACCTATGGAAATTTTGTACGGTTATTTGCATATCTGCATAAGTTTGCCTTGACTTAATCAGATTTCACCGGTACTCGATTTACGTTGCACTCAGAGTACATAATTCTATATTCATTCTATCCAATTTTGAATATTCTACAAGTATGCACATGGATTCAAAATGTCTACACCCAGGAGAGTGCCAAATTTCCCAGCGCGGAGGATAAGAAGTTAGAGCTCTTGTAATTTCATATAGCTCTAGGCCTATGATTCAAATAACAAAAGAATTAAAATGGCTGGGTCTTGAACCTAGGTCTCTAAATCCACAGCGCAATGCCTGGCTGAATTTGGTCATTCAGTAATACTGCATTGCTTTATTGCTGGCAGTCAAAAAAAAAGATACAACTGTGTATGCACTGCCATTAAGACCTGTACACACAATGTGTAAATGTTCTATAAACACACGCTGGCTAATCCAAATATCTTTGACATACAATGCCGAGGCACGTCACAAAAATCTGTCCAAAAAGCAGATGCATGTCTGATTGATTTTCACAGTAAGTGGTGAAAGAAGGGACCTGGCGACTATACGGTCACAGATGTTATACACTTCATATTAAAATTTAATCCTGTCAGATGCAACTTCCAAATCTGCTTGTCAAGGAAAGTAGATTTTTTATGCCTGACCTAGCCAGCTGTGCCAGAAGATGCATTTTCTCTAAAATGCACGGTTTGACCATGGATAAGTTTACACATGGATAAGTTTACAATCTGTCTCACTATTTCTAATAAACGCAAAGCCAGTGGATGGACCAGGAACCAGCCCATCACTGCTTTCTCCTGGTTGAGGTTTTTATGCAGCCACAGTGATTTTTGAGGGAACGAGTTCCATATCCTGACATCACTTGACACCCTATGAACAGACTCTATGAAACTGGTTCAACTTTTTCAGTGCTAAATTAGGAAATGTTATTGCTCTCTTGTGGGTTCTAAACAACTGCAAGGGAAAATCAGTGATGTCCAAATATGGAACTCTTACCTTTTGTGGTTTGTGAACACCGAAAAGGTCTAATCCTTGATAGCTCCCCTCCCTTTTCTAATAAACCTTTTATGTGTTAAATTTGAATAGAATCTGGTACACTGAGTTCTTTAAATTCGAAACACAACAACTTGAATTCTCCATACTACGGGCACTGTTGCTATACCTGGTGATTTAGGGCAAGCTTTTGGTTAGTTACTACATACATGTAAGAGATGCCTTGCACCAAGGCCCTACACTGTTTTCAGTTGATAAGGCCATAAGAATGAATATCCCGGATATCTATCCACGGCCCACATACCGCTGATACAACTACCAAAAGATTTTATTATTTTCAAAAAAGTTATTGTTTCAGAAAAATTGTTGTTTTCCCATTGGGAACGCTTAAAAAAATGGCTGCAAAGTAACTCTAGAGTTTATAGTGTGACAACTGCCTGTGTACAAATGGCATGACGCAAGACGGACTGAGAGCTAGTCTACTTTCAAGGTTGGTTCCCTTTGTATGAACACGTACTCACTATCAATGGGTGCGTTCGATTAGCTTCCCTGAATACAAAAGTGTTACACGCAAGGGAAGCCTCCAAATGAGGGTAATCGAACGCTGCTGTGTACTTGCCAAGGCATTCTGGGAAAAAGGTCAAGCACAAACAGTCCATCCATGACGTCAAACACTCGGGCAGCCTCCAGAGACCCACTCGCCAGACGGGGTAGTAGTGGCTGACACCAGGGCAGGCACGAGAATCACGTAATGGCTAAACGAACGCTCTTGTGTAAGTTTGACTTACACGTGTAAGCTAATCGAACGCACCCATTGTGTGGCATGTACACCAACTAATGATTATGAAAAAATAGCCTCATGGGTATTCAAAATTGTTTGGACCGAAATCTGGGATGCTCATTCTAGCGGCCTAAGACATGTTAAACTAGCCAGAGATGGTGGTCATGCCATGGTGGTCATTATTATTGGCATTGCAAAAACTTATCCCGTTCTTTAGTTAGGGGAATTCAAATTGTTATATTTTGAAATCAAATAACACAGTGTACCACATTTTAATTCAAATTTAACTCGCAAAGGCCTGAGTCATGTGAGTACGCTAAGGCCTATTCTGGCATTGCACGGTCATGACGGTCACCTTCAGCAACTTTGCGGCGATTGCATCGTAACTTGGCTCGGCAGAGTGAGCGTTCCCAGCGTTCACAGGAGCAGCCTTGGTCAAAGGTGAACCGGTCTCAATAACTTGTATGTCCGTGTCGCCATCGTCTGCAGTGATGGAGGGAGGTTCTACTGCAGCAACAATGCTGTCCTCCACCGGTTCCTCGTCGTCGTCGGTGAAAAACGGATTATAGGAGTCCGCCATGTTTACTAGCAGTAGACTGGTATCTTTACGCATACGTCTTGGTCCCCGCCTCCTCCTCTTAGTCTATTCTAGGGGGCGCTATTTATAATGCTGCAAAATCGGCCAGTGAATGTCGGACTGCTTAGACGAGTCTGTGTCCGTGTCTGTTCTGTTCCATTGGCGTAAGGGCGGGGGGGTATACATCCCCCAACTCTTTTGGGGGAGTTGGGCAATTTTACGTTAGCATATAAGGACCATTTGCATTTTTTTTTTCGAGAAAAAAATTTGCAAGTGGCCCTCATATACTTCCGTACAATTTAATCGTCCCACATTTTTCGTGATGACAATAAAGCCGCTATTGTAAAGAATTTTCGGACTTCCCAGCAACCGAAATAAATCAGCACTCAAAATAGGAGACCAATAGAAAAGTCATCAAAATATGCCATTAAAAGAGCGAGGTTGTTTTGGCACATCTCATAGCTGGAGGGGGGGTCTGTTAGGGTTCAGATTCCACTGGAGTGTAATACATTACTTCAAATGCACAATTGTGTCATGAACATCGCCCCACATTTAGTGTCATATTGCTGGGCATATCAGCCCCCCCCCGACACACACACACACACACACAAATCCCTATCCCCCCCAAAAAAAAAAATCCGGCACAAATTTACACCATTGTTCTGTTCATTCAAAAATGGACCTCAGGCATTTTTCGTTTTCCAATATAAAACAGACAAAAAAGAGACTTGTCTTTTTTAAATTGTTTTTTTAAACCTACAGAGTCAAGTCAGGAGTCTTTAAGAGATTAAGAGATCGAAACCTGTCCCCGACAATTTTTTTTTAAACTTACTTTAAAACTAAAAATTAACTTGAAGTATTGGATACGTGTCTTATAGAGATTGCTATAGATGACGACGATTTGGCTGGTGACTTTCTTGGTGTGAACCTCATTCAGTTCTGCTTCATGCATCTTATTCAGGTGGGTGCATTTATTTAAAGCGAAATATGGTGTGTTGCAACCTAGCCGAATTATTGCTAACGGTTATTGATTGACCGGTTTTCTATTGCCGACTGGCGCATCAAGTTTTCTTCACTATTCGTTTTGATAGCACACGGCCGGTAATTCAAGGTAAGGGGCATGAGTTCCAGGCGGGGGGTTTCCCCTCCCCTTCTCGGTTACCCCAATGATTCTACCATTATGCCATACAATATTGCCGTCAACTGATTCGTTCCTTTTATCCACACACAGAAGTAGCTTGATGAAGTTGTCAACACTTGGCATCGAGATCTAATTCGACCATCAAGGAAGGCCCGAATGCACTTCTTGCCAGGACTGTATGACACTGTAGATTATCCCCAGAAAGATTTCGCAGGTTGAATGCAGATATAGAAATCGAACCCCTTGTGACGAAGATGTGCATAAACTCTGCTGTCGTGTTACGGCTGAGAATTTATATGATGAATTTCCCAACCACAAAGAATCAGCTGTAAACCTGTTATACAAAACAGAACTCTGCAATTACTGCTGTGTGATCTCCCCCGCTTCAGACGACGTGTTGTTTGGAAACGTTAATTTCTCCGTTCCTAAAATCCAGCTGCTACAAGTGTGTCAAGAAACTATTGAAATCATTTGAGCTATCCTATTCAGCAATTCATGTAAGTGGTGCACAACGATGCTACGACGGTACACACATGAAAGTAATCAGGTTTTACTGTCCTATGAATCAGATTCACACTCAAGAAACTTCAAAACTATGACTAACTTTTTATGAGTAACCAAGAGATTACTTTCTACCCTCAAATAATAAGATCTCATGCGTCCATACTGTCACTGTGTTGAGAGCGAGAGGTTGAGAGATCGAGGCTGCCCCCGAGAAAGTTTTCAATGATTTTTCAAAATGAAATGTTAAAAATTCAAAACAATTTTTTAATTATAAAAAGTGAAAAGATCTCGGTGGTCCGATGGATACTGAACGCACCTTTCCACATTTACTTGTGTGTGTGTGTGTTGCGTACACGATATGCGTTCATGCGTTCACTGTCATGGACACAAAAATCTACCCGTTAACATAACGCATGTGTGCGTTGCGTTCAAAAAGCGCGTATGCGCGTCAACACTTGCGCCGGGCGTTCTGTATCCGTCAAAATCCGATCGCTCCTGGGACGATTTTGACGGCCGAATTAAGGCAACGCACACGTGTTATGTTAATGGAGTCGATTTTTGTGTCCGTGAAAGCGAAACGCATGAACGCATCGTGTACGCAACGCACCTAAAAACGTACATACATATGAGATATAGACCGTGTGTACAAAATGTAAGTCGTACGTGTGATATACAACTCGTATGTACGACATACAAGTCTTATTAGCTGTCCCTGATACAGCTGTGTATTTTGACTACTTTGGGGGCCACGGAAGGCAAACAATTCAGATGGCAAACTGAACTTAAGGCCATCATGAATTTCCAGTGAAACACACTAGGCCAATCTGTTCGTGAAAGGCACCAGGCACCAATTAACCCATCATCCGGTGGTTCAGTGACCCCGCCCACCAAACGTCAGCCTTCATCGAGTCACCTTAATATCTCGCAGGTGGACAAACTTGCGAACCGTTCACTCACTGAAAACGTACCCGCCCATAGAGTGAAATCTCGGACAGAAATAACGCTGACCATCTCGTGCGTTAGCGACCTCATGCCCGCTACGACTTTCTCAGCATGTGACTTATCAACAGTCAGTTTTAGTCTGCTGAGATTGATCATTCAGGACGTCGAACGACTGGAGAACGTTGCTTACTGACCGAAGTTGCCTGATGTAAAACAAACAAACACCCCAACACCCCCAACAACCCAAACAAACAAATAAACAAACATATCTCACACCAGGTTAACAAAAATTGAAAATGCCCGATGCATCCAAACGGCTGTTTACAGACCCCACAGTTTTGTAAAAAGAGAGATTTAAAACTGCCTTTAGAAAGAATTTCTTTTTAATTTCACAAATGTTGGGAATCTATTGTTTTATATCTTTTCACTGTCAAAAATCCACGCAATTCACTCATCACCCAGTGCCCGAACACTGAGGGTGCTGGGAAGGGCTGACAGCTTCCCACTCTTTAGTGAAGAGTATACGTCACACGGGATCACAGCTAATGACGCACTAGAGCATTGATAAATTGGTAAATTTCTGCCGGGAGCGCGAGTTCGCTCAGTGCGTTACTCAAGCATGACAAGCGGCGGTTATCAATTCGATATTTTCTTTCGCTTCCTCACTGCTGAAAATATACTCACAACACCGTTACTCGTTCATCCAAAATTAATGAAGATAACTAATGATTTAAAATATATCGCAAAAAGACACGTGGTCAGTGATACTTAGGTCTGTTGTACATTATTTTTTAATCGTACCAAAGTGACATCTCATGTATTTATTTATTGTATGTTTATGTCCTGGATGGACGTTTTAATTCAATTTTTTTATATTTAATTGCTAGAGTATTAAAGTGTCAAAGTGTATGTTATCTATGTATTTTTATTTTTTAATGTTTACATGTTCAGTGTTTTTATATGTGTATTTACTTATTTTGTGGTTCTTGTGGTTTTTTTCACAACTTGATGGGGAGTGCGACCACCGTGATTTTTTACTACTCCTGTGCCCATCTTGTTCGAGATGTATTATTGGCATGAATAAATAATAAAAATAAAGATAAATTACCACACTGTGATTGTTACAAGGCCATGTTTTTATCGTCATAGCCGATACTTTGCCCGTACCAAAGCACTGCTATTACGAAATTGGCAAACCAAAAAAAAAATCCAATAACGCTTCCCCAACAGGAAGTGATAACCTCGCGTTCGCAGGTCGTGCACAATCCAGCCAATCATAGTGCAAAGCCATCAGCCCTTCCCACCCAGTGCTTGGCTGTTTGCGCCATGGGCGCCGGGCGACGAGCGAAGAATTATCCTACACCTCACTCGCCCTCGCCTCGTACCATTCAAATAGCAACTCCCTTTTATCTTTAGGTCGCGCTGACAGACATACCTTCACCTGACGCCACTCAAGAACCAGACAGCAATGTGTGTTTCACTGGAATTCCAAGATAATAACCACAGTCAGTATTTTCACAAGTGTTTGTCTCATTAAATTTTTGTATCCGACACTTTTACGAAATCTGCCGCACAGGTTATTCGCACAGTTAATTTAAAATCGCGCCCTCTTTTCAGCATATGGATTGCACAATACTGAACACAGACACCCAGAATAAGCGCCATTTGTTTAGGAACCAGATAGCAATGCTTGCTTCACTCGGGTTTCACTAGATATTCAACAGCTACAGCCGCAAGAACAATTTTTCTGTTCAATTTGGCAACTGTTTACTGAATCAATTTTCATGGTATCATCTCCCTTTAAATCTTGACTCTTCAAGATGACCTACACTCTTGGAACTTAACTTTAGGAAGGTCAATTGTGGCTTCTTCGACTGAGGCATCCTCCCACACAACCTTTTAGAGGTTCGGGGCTTACTGGATCGGCTTATCAGACTCATACCTGATGATCTCACAACTGGCCCACTACACTGCTTGGTGGGGGATACAAAGGATAAATACACTTTTAAAAATAAATAGAACAAGAGATAATGTCAAGAAAAAAGCAAAAAGTGTCTCACGCATCCTATTTCCAAATTCCACTTGGGACTACCATCCAACATCTATTTCCTTTATTTCAATTCACATCACGAAAATCACGTTTACATAAATAAACATATCCTCAATAGAGGCATTCAAAATATGTGTGCATAACATTCGTAACAACACTTCACAGCCAAAACTAAACCAGAACGATAAATTCTGTCTTCCACAAGGTGGAATGTTTGTTTCCTTTGGGTATTGTGTTTCTATTTTACAGGGATCAAATGAGTAAAGAAACAATGAACCATTCTAAGTTATTCTTCTTTTCTTATCTTGGCTGAATTCCGACACTTTTTCGGAAAGCAAAGCTAAAGGGTGCAATTAGATTAAGCCTATGCGGAACAGACAGGAACACCGCTGTAGGTACCAAAAATACAAAAAATAAAGAGGCTTCTATTTTATGACAAGTTATGAAAATAAATGAATCTAAAGACACTATTAAAAATATAAATCGACCCAAAAGGCAGAAAGTTAAAGCTCTTGCAAAAAAGTTTGTAATAGACAGTTTTTAAAAAGTAAAAGGAAAAAATCCACCAACCTATCTTTACTTTCTTCAACAAAAAAGAGAGAAAATAATAGATATATGCAAAAAAGGATAATCCAAGTTTCACATGACCTATTTATCACTAAACCTCAAAACATTCAGAACAATACTCTCTAAAGTACCAGAGACCGCCAGAGAAAGTGTGCAATTGCATTGAACAAAATTTCTGTTTTCTCGAAAACTACAGCATACTGGGCGGAAATACCTCACAGACTGATTGACACTTTTATGTACTTTCTTTCAAGTAAGATATTTATATTATATGGTAGTCTGATGTGGGGGATATTAGCAATGGTAAACAACACCCTTAACGGCACACAACTTTCATCGGTAAAGAAAATATTGAAGAGTTGACAGAATATTCCTACATTTAGGTGAGTGGCATTCAACTGAAGTTCTCTTTTCAACTCAAACGTCTTAAGAACACACACAACACAAGAAAGGTAGACCTACTTGCACAGAACTCTTTTGAAGGAATTTATCCCATCCGTAGTAAACCATTTCAAGTCAAGGACTTTGTCACCTGACTTTACTGGAATATTTTACATTACATTACTGGAATACTGCACCCTAGAACAGCAGCTTTGCCCCAACCAAGTATGTCCCAATTTTGATCTCTACACTGGAGGCAGCCTTACCCCTGTTACACCATTTAATTTTTTAAAAATCACTTAACTTTCAATAAAATCACACACAAACACATTTATATACAATTTAATCAGGTGCATTGCATAATCAAGAACCACAGAACATTAGGTCATTAGTAGCTAACGAGCTTCTCCAGTTTTCATTCACCTCTAACATCTCAAGTAACAGGACAAGGTATGCATTTTAAGTTCTATGTTCTCCATGTGCAAACAAGAATAGATGCGGGAATTTTATACCAAGCAATGGTCCCTCTTGGAATAGCACATCACGTGCATGTGCACATTCCAACAGCACAGAATCTGCAGTAGTTTTACGAAACTGCCAAGTATTCACATGTGTGTTGCATGTTGCTGGGAACGAATGACATGTAAGTTGCACCAGCCTCTCTTTTTCTTGCTGTTAAGAGGGCAGTTGTGGTACTCAGGGAGGTCAGGTTGCCTTCTACTTGTGCAACCTGGGTTCAAATCCCAACTGCCCTGGTTTTCAGTACCTACCCAATTAAAAATATTTATTTGAGGATTTACCTCCCTCCTCCCTTTAAAACTGAACATTTCTTCACTGTTTTCTCTGCCAGGGCCCCTAGGGAGGTCACTTCATTTTGGCAACTGGTAGAGACTAGCTTGGTCAAATAAATATTGGCTTGGCAAGGAAATGCAGCGTTGAAATCAAGACCTACGATCATTGCAAGTCTATCAAAAATTATCTGCTCTCAAATTACGCTGCAATGATGACACAGGTATTCTTTAGTCATTTGTTACAAATACAATAACAACTTTATGAACTTGTCAGCTTTGGCACTTAATACAGTTTTCTAAATTATGCACGGAAGACTTCAAAATGACAAACCAAAGTGAAAAACTGAATTATTTTTTATCATCAAGCAGCCCTGATTCGACCCATGCACAAGAGATTTTCAGTCACACGCACAGCACGCAGTTTTCACTCAGTGCTTTGTTTTGCATGCAATCTTATTCCCGAGCACCAAAATTGTTCAGGCCAAATGTCAAAATGCAACTCAGCCTCCGGCATCGACTGCATCCCTGAGCTCAGATCCGTTTAAAGGCCTTGAGTCAAAATTACCAAAGGCCGGGACCCAGCTGCCAAGAGACACAACTATGGGAGGCCACACGGGTAGGTTCCACAGAACCTATAACAGCTCTTGCAAAGGACTAAAGTGGAGGATACAGCAGCAATTCACCTCTTGTTACTGCTCTTTTGCTTGGCTTTCAGCTTTGCAGACTTCACTCTGATCGGCTTGGGGTTCATCTTGGCAGCGCTGGTGCTGATTGGTTCGTCTGTCAGTGAGCGCCTCCGCTGTGATGTGAAGCTCTTCCCAGGCAGCATGGAGTCGCGCCCGCGGCTCTTCAACCTGGAGCCACTGCTCGAAGAAGCTGTCTTTGGTCGGGAGGATTGATCGCCACTTGCCCCGACCGCGGATGATAACTCCAGATTAGCCAGGTCCTCTGAGGCTTTCAAGGCCACAGCTGAGATGGGTCGTGGTTTACGTACCATCTGCCTAGCACTGCTGAAGGTCGCGAAGGCAGACTTGGGACGCCCTAGAACAGCAGTATTGGTATTTGCAGTGGATTTCCGATTAGATGTTCGGCCTGTGGTGCAGCTCTTACAGGATTTAGGTCTGGGAGGGGACTCCTCCTCTTCTGCTTGTCTGGGCTGCCGGATATGTAAATGATAGCCAAATTCTGTGCAGGAGCCCTGGCAGTATGCCTGTTTACAGTGACAGCATCCCCCACTGGGTGGGTCACGCTTGATCTTGCATTCCCCTGCGCACAGCGGCTGCAGACAGTCAGGTGAACAATTTCTACTCTGCCTGGATCTGGCTAAGGCACTCTGTGCTCGCTCTGTGGGGAGAGCTGCTGTGGCATTCCAACCTTTCCTCACCTGCGTGGCTGATGCTGCTCTCTTCGGTGGAGCCAACCTTTGACTTTTCTCCCATTCAGCACTGGTGATCTGCAGCCGCTCCATCTCGATCAGCCGGTCAATGAGCTTCTCCTCGACACCGTCCGGCACTGCTCGTATGGCGTGCCGCCAGTCCTCCTTGAGTAGGCTCAATTCCAGTAAGTCCAGGTAGCAGTAGGGCTTACTTAGTGCCTCTGGGAATGGATCCTGCTTCTTCTTGCCGGCGCTGGAGCTGTGATATCGAAACATCCCCCGGTAATTGTCCACGTCCAAGTCTTCTGGTGGCAGGTCAAAGTTTGGTGGGGTCCTCACCCGATACTTGTGTGAACTGTCCTCAGAGTCCTCACCAGACTGATTCTTTTCAGCATCAACGATTTCTGGCTTTCCGTCATTTGAAACAATATCAAAAGGCCCCGGGTGAGATGCGTCAGAGTCTATTTGTTTCCCATCACTAAGGGCACCGATTATTCTTGGGGTGAGCTGGTCAAACTCGGCTTGTCTGCCACTGAGGGCAGAAGTGGAATGTGGTCTCAAGACCGGTTGCTGCTGTTTAGACCTCACAACAATGGAAGAGTGTGGTCGTCTGAAACAAAAAAATTAGAAATTAAAATATTACAGCAGGAAAGGTCTACATGCAAAATTCTAAAAAGCGAGATTTTACTAAAATGAGTATCTCAAAATCAGTTGTAAATGAATGAATTATATTAAACAAAACAACACACTCAAAACCCCAATCAAAATGAAATTACTTTGAAAACAAATTTCTATGACATAACAATGTGCGAGAGACTTCAAGGATTCAAGGTACTGCATCAATACTGCATGTGCATGAGACTTTTCTTGATGGGAGCTGAAAGAGACATTTTATATTTAACTCCATACATTTTTTCTCAGTCCCTTCAAGAGGGTTGCCGTAATCTTTGGAATATAAGCCGCGGCTTATACGTTGATTCTTACGCTGAAAAATGTCTTTGCAGCTTATATGCCAGGTGGCTCATACGGCAAACTCTGAAGGATTAAATCAGTCATAAAAGCCGTGCATACCACGAGCAGGTAGTGCAATCATATTTTCATTGGTAACCGTTTACATCCGGTAACTCGAACCTTGGGTGATAAATAAAATTCAAGTTGTCCGGATTTCGAGTTAATGCAAGTTCCTGAGCCATAGAGTCACGATAAGCACATGTGTACGTAATCACAATAAACTTCACTTGCTTTGGTGATTATTTCCTGCTTTTTATTCATTCTTGTGGTGTGTTTTATAAACACAAATATTATTTTACTAAGTCCTTTTCCCAAGTCCTTTAAACCTAAAGGTTTCTTTTAACTGACGAATAACAATAACCACGGTGTACTACCTTCAGGTAGCAAATCTTTTGTCTTTTCACCAATTGTGTTCCGAGTGAAATGCCACGCTGCAGCACCGAACTTCGGGTTTGTTTTCACTTGGGTTTTCCAATGACATCACTTTCTGTGGTCAAGTGGTAATCAGAAAGAGTCAGCGATTGGACTGTCCACGAACGGGTCTGTGGTAGCAGTCAGGCTAGCCCGAAAGTGAATGCGTGCAGAGCATGTGCTATGCAACATGCATGCAACACAAGCAGTTCCATGTGAAAAGAACATGTGCTTCATGCTTGGCAATGTCGACTCAAACTATTAAGTCTCGCAGTGGACCTTCGCCTTCTATTTTTAAGCAATTTGGCGGTGTTTTTTTTATTGTTGTCACAAAAACTTTCAGATAAGCGGATGTAGTGGTGTGGATATTTTGAGTTATGGAGGTAATTTTGCACATAAAAGCCTATTCTTTAGGCAAAAATAAGTAGGCCTACAAGATAAAATGGACTTTCCACTTAACCATCTTCGAGTTATCGAGATTTTACTCCACATCTCTGTCCGCGTAACTTGCGCGGCCCATGCACACAGGACAATCATCAAGCCTGCCAAAATTGGTCATTTTCGAGGACTTCAATTTATTTTTAACAGTGGCACTCCTTTGCACTCTGCTTTCTCTTATTAGGATTGTACATGTAGTGGAACCATTGACGTACTTGCACTGTACTGGCACTTCAGCATGCAGCATGACAATCTTCATGGTTGGATCATTCATGTTGTTAGCGCCATGATGCGACTTATACACCAGTGCAGCTTATACACTGACTTTAAATCTTAATTTGCCGTTCTTTGCGTGCTGCAGCTTACACACCGGGCAGCTTATAGCTTGAAAATTACGGTACTACTCTAGTTATGTATGTGAAGTTTAAGCAGAGTACATTCGACTCTTCATTTATAAATCACCCACCTGATTTCCCGCTTTGTGGGTGAGAACATTGGCAGTTTTGATATTCAATCTATAGTGTATAGTAGTGATAGTTGTAGGCTAAGAAATGGTTGAAAAAGACTATTTACTCATTGGCAAAAGGTATGGAATAATAGAAACATTTCAACTTGGCGCAAAATCATACCATTCAACAGAAGCTGGTCATACTTGCTATTGCACATGAACCTGTGCGCAGACGCAGTGTTATCGTTCCTATGTAAAAATATCACTCTTGCGTGGAGTGATAAAAAAATTGCATCCTACTGTGTTGCAAAGAGATCTAACCTTCTGTTTGACCTCTTGACTGGTGTGCACTGGAATGCTAACCCCTGATCGATGACCGCTGCCTCCCCTGCGGGTGCTGAGCCAATGCTGGGTGCTTGATGGGGTAAGCTTGCAGCTAGCTGGGAAGGGCGTAAGGTCCGCACCATCCTGTCTCCACTTGAGTAGAAGCTCTAGTGATTTCAACAAAATCAAAGTTATGCAACAGATGAGACAGTGGCAATTTCTGATTGTAAACCTACCAGTCTACAGCAAGCCCCAAACATATCTCTCCATTCACCAGGTGATCCCATAATCGATGACCTCTGTGGAGAAAGGGGGTATGATGCTCCTCGACTGACTCTCTGACCAGTTTAAGTTCCAATGATTGTATCTTAAACCAGCTACTGTATGATAGCGAAGCTTGGCAAGAGGAGACAGGATACCAGGCAATCAGAAAAAAAGGAGAAAATAAAATGACATAAATACTAATAAATTTAAGTAGATTTTTGAGTTGTGTTTTCCTTTGATGAATGGGATAGCTACTAATAAGCTGGGTAAAGTCAACCCAACTCAAACATTCAACATTCTTACTCTTCAACAGACTTGATTGTTATGTTTCAACTGTGAATAAGCCATGGCCCCCTTCCATCCTATGAAAAAATTGTCAGCATGCCAGGAATATGAAATGGACAGTTAAATTTATGCTTCGCAGGCCAGATGAGTAAGGGGAAGAAAGTAATGCAAGTCAGTGCTGTACATTACAACCACACGGTGTACATAAGTCATTGTTGTTACATTTTGGTGTCTATTTTTTCATGCACAATCAATATAATTCCGTGCCCTGTTTACTTTTTATAAAATGCAAACACTGTGGACAACTGTTGACCATTTCCGATCCACCTGTTGCCCAGTTGAGGAGGGGCAGCAAGTGGTGTCTACCACCAACTGGAAAGATCCACACAATGCAAATTTATCTGACTACAGTGCTACAAAATGTGCCTTTGTGTTTCAAATAACCTTATTTTCAATGCCTGTTTCTGTTTTAGAGGTTCTGGATACCTTGTTGGTTTTTATACTGCTACAAATATCTTTCCATTTTCCGCACAAGACTGGCATCATTCCAGAGGGAAAAAGTCAGTGTTACATTTCTTTGTGCATATGTGCTATTAGATTTTTACTATTTTGCTTTTCTTTGATGAATCATTGTGCAACTGTATGACAAAATGCCAACAAGCAACCTTTTCCCAGAAATGTTTTAAATGAGCCAATTTTGGATTCACAATTTGAACAGAAAAATCTATAAACTGAGCATCATCTTGGCTCAGTGACATCCCAGTAACACTATTGTCTATTAATAGAAGACTTAACAATTTGATTTGTTTAAACCTCATTGATGTATCTCAATTTCAATACAATTATCCCCAAAATGATGTCAACTTGTTTTCATACACTGAAAAAAGTATAAACTTTCGCAAAAAGTGAATCATTGGCATTGCAAGGATCCTTTAAATGTGAAGTAAATTAGCGAGACAAGTAAGCATAGAAACAACAATAACAACAAACAAACCTTAAAACCAGTGCCATGGTACTTGCTGATTTGTTGATTAACCTGATGTACCTGAGCTGATAACTTACGGAATGTGTCCTGTCAAAGAAAGGGTGAATGTACAAAGTACAAGAAATATTGAGAAATAAAACAGAAAGCGAAAAATCTCATTCCAAGACATTCAACAAGGCATTTCCTTAATTGCTTTCAACATTGTATTTTTGAAACACTTCTTATGTGATCATTTACTTTTGGTGGTATAAACCCATATACATGTGTCTCTTGCAACACTGGCAAAAATCGTAAATGATTGCAAACTTCTACTTCCCTACTTCTAAAACACGGTACCAAAGACAAAGGTTTTTAAGCGATTTTTCCCATTTAACCAAAAATCTCAGTACTGTTTTTTTTGTTTTTTTTTCGTTTTGTTTTGGGTTGAGTTGTTGTGCTTCTGATACTACCTGTAGCGATTTATAAAATAAATTAACAGAATTCATGTTGGACTCTTGGACAGCTAGAAAAGCCACAGCGAACAAAACAAATGCACCTCTTAGAAATGTAAGGATGCTGAATTTGGTCACTTACTGGGCAAAGTTAGAGCTCACGATTCAACTCATATGACCTATGATTTTGACCAAGGCTTGTAATTTGATACTCAGACTTAAGCTCAGGTAACTTAAAAGCTTGTCATTTGTTATTGAAGCCAAAGAATCTATCATCCAATGAAATGTGTTTTGTGTTGATGACAAACACTATTATTTTCATATTGTCTTAGGTACGAACTTTAAGAAATTCTTTCATTTCCAAACAAATGTTAATTCACAAAATATTAGTTTGCACAGATACAAGAGGCAGAACCACAATTCATTAATATGGGATACTTTGGTAATTGTTTTCAATATTGATCATGGGCATGGCGCTAAACTTAACACAAGGCATGATCAATATCTGCCACATCTGCTTTGAAACATGTGTTCAACACAAAGTCGCTTCTTCAGTACAGCTGTGGCCATTTATTCCTGCTCTGTAAATAACAGCGATTCAAAAGCTTGTTTGCTTTTGATTAAGGTTAGGAAGTGGTAACAAAAAACATGGTTTGAGAGTGGACGGTCCCCTCAATATTAGCTTAAATCGATTATAACACACCTTGTGCCGGTGTTTTAATCCTGGTTGGCTGAAACATGGTCAAATGGGGTTCACTAATATAGGCTAAAGTATGAAATTTGTATCAATGTGACCTGGATGAGTGCAAAGACATCATGAGCACATAACCTCAAGAGTGCAGAGCCTGGTCAGGTACTGTATTCAAAATTTTTCACAGGTTACAGCGCCCTCACATGACAAGAACAGTGAACAGCAATCCATGGAAAGTAAAAGTGTTCCTGTAATTGTTGAATTGCTTTTTTGAGTTGCTAATAAGATATCAGTTTAACCAAAACAGTTCAGCTATAAACCCAGAAGAATTCAAAACAATAATAGCACCGAATTTCTATTTGCAAAAGCAAACCTGTCTGCATTTGTTATAACGATATCTTGTGTCGTAAAGTTATCTCAAATATCAGTTTATTTTAATGTCAAAAATGTAGCTGACAAGATGGACCTGGATCCAGAACCAAAACTTTTTTTGGGGGGGGATGAAATTGTTTGGGGATCCAAAAATGCCGACACTTCTTTGTGGCTTTTCTGAAGGGTGAGGGTTATTTTGGGACTTTTTACATTCCCTCGAGGGGAAAGGGAAGTGAAAAAAGTGAAGATAAAAAGTCCCCTCAAATTGTTTTTCCCAAAATCCCCGTAACAAAAAATGAAAATTGCTCACGGGGGTTGGGCCATAGTTCCTACTGGCCCTCGATCCCCACCCCCAATTTGCCAGTTCAGGTCACACCGTCAATAAAGGATGATAGAGAATGTGTGCAACAGTGCAATAACATGAAAATGATGCTTTCAGATAGACTTTAAGCAAAATTGTGTTTTGACAATGAACGCATGCATGTACCTTGGCTTCAGAAAGCCTGAAAAATACTTCTCCTCGGATTTACTGAAATTTCCCAAGATGTCACACAAGGCATCTCTGGAAAAAATCTCTTCAAAATAACATATTGCAGAGAGGATGAATAAGGACAAAGGGTATTTATTCCTTCCGCTATCTTTAAGTTAAGTGGGAATTTTTAACAAGAGTGGTTGATCTGTTTGGGATTGCTAAAAGGGATGCACTCAACCATTCAATGCAAACACATGGAAATAATCGTCTCAACAAATACCCTTACATTTGTATCCTTGAGGGAATTTGCTTTGTTCTCGTGTAGAAAAACTTTGCATGTGAAGTACAGTTTTCTCATTACTTCCATTTAGCCCCGAATCATTCTCCTTGACTGAATGTCGACCGAACGTCCCTCACATAAAATGCTTTAATTTGTGATGGATAAGCACACTTTGAAAATTCCTTGTTTTAGAGTAAATTCCAAATATCAGTTTTGCAAAATTCTTCTGGGGTACCGTTTTAGTATGCCACAAGTACAACAAATGTTCCTTGTGGGGTACTTCCCACTGTTCTGGTACCCCATAAGGCACCCTAAACACACATCAGCATGCATGGGTGTTGCAAGAAAAAATGCTTCCTGTATACACATGTACTTTTAAGACAGCACCATCAGCCTGATAACCTCAAAGCAAAGCATTTTGAGCTCAACTACATCACAAAAAAAAAAACTGGACTGCTACAAAAATAAAGTGCTTTTTAAAAAAATGACTTCTAAAATTAATGGATGGAGGACTGTATGCTTTAAAAAAAAACACGAGGTTTCCATTTTATATTGCATGCTGCTGTATCCCATTTGTTGTGTCTGCCAAATGAAGTCTTGAACAAACAAACCCCCCAGAGTATCAGGTTGTATTCACAACTGTGTTTGCTTCAAAGCAGATGGTGAAGACATTTTCACCGTAGCTTAATTACATAATTAACTAACCCACTACATGTGCATGAATTCTCGCCCCTAGGCTGGTTGTTTTGAAGAGTTCGGGTGATGAGGAGTTGTCAAATTACTTCAACCTTCCTACTTTTGAACTGTTTGTCATTAGATATTATTGCATGCAGACAAAAATGTCTCTGGCTCAGTACCACAATGTTCTTATGACAGTCCAGTGATTTGGGGCAAACACTTGTACTCTTAGGGCCTTATTATGAATTTGAAATATTTTATTGAAATAAACATGTTCCAGACTGTTTCATTTATTTAACTCTTTTGGGGGCAATACAAATTTCAACAAATCTTCTTGCCTGATTTTATGGTTAAAGCAATACTTTCAATAAGGACCTTTTAGGGCAATTTTTTAATACGGACTTTTCAATAGGACTGACATGACAAATTACTGACCATTTTCTTGCACCTGGATGTCAGTAAGTATGAGTCAAAATAAGTTGTAAAAATAAGTGACTGTTGCAAAATAAGTGACTTTATGGGCTTCAAATTCAACCCCATTGACTCAGTAAATCCATCAGAACTTTCTTCTTTTCACAGAGCTGTTCTCCCCCAAGTCCCAAGCTTTGAGATGGCAAGAAGGAAAATGTCAGTTCGGGATGGGGGGGGGGAGGAGTGATCAGGATACCGTCCACAGCAGTAAGGTAGTGACTACACCATACAACCACCCTGGCTGGAAATGAACTAGGGCCATCGTTGATGGAAGGCAGAGAACACACAGCTGCCAAAGACCTGACAGTCCTGCAGTTAATCAGTAAATTTTAGTATGTGTCCTACTGATAGAGCTACGAGGAAAAAAAATCCCACTTTTCCATTTTGTCCCACTATTCCAATTTTTTTCTTCTTGCTTTGGTGAATGCAATAAAAGATGTTCTAAAATGTGACGTTTAAAATTTGTCATTCCTGTTTGTAACTGGATTGGTTTCCTTGTTATTTGCCGTTGACCAAGTGCTTATTTCATTTTCCTTCAGCATGGCCTACGTATTAATATAGCAAACCACAGTAAAAAGTCATCTTGGAGGTGGCACTAAGCTCACATACATTGCACACATGAGCAATTCCTAAATTTGTAATACACACGGATTTTGGCAAGTTGGATGAGCATCATATCCATGGACTGCATTTAATACTTGTGAGCCCAAAGTCTCAGGAGGTCTTTTAGGACCAGACTGTAATATGAGGTTTTCAAAACACAGGGAGAACGGACTGTTTTTAGATTAAAATAAGCAACATTAAAAAAAAAAAAAGAACTCACCTGTGTTATTTTATACAGAGTAAGATCTGTTGATAAAAAGGAATCAACAAAATAAAAGTGTTCATAAATCTTGCCATATTTCATTATATGTAACCAAACAAAATTTTATTTCTTTTCAAGGTTCCTGAATGAGGAAATTTAAAATCAATTGAAAGCAGAGAAAATAAAATATACTTTTGGTTGAAAAAGACCAAAACAAGTTCCTTACCGTTTTGGTCATTTTCACGCTCCTGTTGAAAATTTGTCCAGGTTTTCCACTTGTAGGTTGTCTTGAAAAAAGAAATGACCACATACAAATTTAGAAAATGTTAAATTTGCATAATAAATCTTAACTTTTATTGAAAACTGGGTTTAAAAAATTATATGTAAAAATAATACGGTCTGCAAATGGTAAAAAATTATTTACTCTCACCTGATCTAGGCCAGCGTGCCTGGATGGTGTTAGACTCAACTGTTGGGAGACCTTCTTGGGAGTCTGTTGACTGTGTGACACCAATAAACCTTTGCCACGGCAACCCTGGAGCTCATAATCTCTGCCATGCTTTGGGCGAGGGCTGACCGTCCCTGGATGAGCAGTCTTGTTCCTTCTCCGTGACTGTTGGAATAACCTCCTAATGATGGCAATTGCAAAAAAATTGTTTGCAGCAATGTCATTTGAGGGGAGTCAGGTTGGCATAGTGGTTCTTTCCTCACCTTTCACCTCAACGGCCAGGGTGCAATTCCTGGCCAAGTCTACATGAGGATTGGGCTTTCAGTCTTTACCTAATTCCCCGAGTTTTCCTCAGAATATTCCTCTGAGGTTTTATCTCCTACCTCTAAAACTGTAACTTCTTCTCACCATCTCTTCTGTACAGGTTTCTTTAGGTTTATGCGCAATGGTGCCTAGAGCACTCTGTTGAGGAGCCTTGGTTTCATTACCAGAAATGCTTTAACGATAATAGTCTGGGTGTATTTACAGGGTAAGGGCAGGAAAAGAGGAGGGAATGGACAGGTCAAATATTTTTCAGTTAATACTCCTTTGGCACACATTTGTATCAAAATGGATTTTGCTAAGTTCTAAACAATTCCATCAGAACACAGGATTACCTCAAAAGGAAAAATCGTACATGTTTGAAGTAAGAAATTCACAGTCATAGTGCAACAAGGAATTCTGTACTTCGGCAAAATCAGTCGATCTGCAAGACCGGGCAATCATGTTGCGCTATCAATCGATCCTCTATGAAAACTCTGAATTTACTTCCTTCTACAAAAACAATCTTTCACAACCACGAATTTGAAAGAAAAGGCAATCAACAGAAGGCAGAATTATTGGCAAATCACTCAGTAAGATTGATAGATTCCGCAAAGATCAAGTGATCACGCAGATCGATTGACTGCATCCAGTAGCAGAACCTAAATTTTTTTTGTGACATTTTCCTCCTTTTATTGTGCTTCCGTCCTTGTGTTTTTTCAATAAAACATACCCCTGAAATCCCCTTTTTGTTTGCTTGTTGGGATCTGGTGCAGGCCAGCTCTGGCTGTAGACTGCACTGAGAAAACTCATGTTAGGCCCTGATATTCCTAACGTCATCCTCATTTATGGCAGTGCAGTGGCAATACTGCATGGGGTTATTCAAACTGAACATTGCCTGGAAGAAAACAAACATGTGATTAAGACTTCACAGATACATGTATTCATACTTTGCTTTACTCTGATGGATCACTTTCCATTCCCCTTGGTCTATGCCAATCAGTGATGTTACATTAAACTGGAATTTTCACCCTGCAATCTGGAACATACTTTCTGGGTGTATGAAATGGCCATAATTCTTGGGGAATTAGACCTGAAAAAGCAAACACTTTTACTAGCATTTTTTCAGACATCAATAAAAGAGATGGGCCACCAGGAGATCAAAATTTGCGACACCTGCATATTTTTATTCCTCGTAGCCCACCAAATATCATATTAAATTATAAGATGCATTTGACAGTTGTTACTTCAAAATTACAGTTGGGGCAAAAACCCTTGAAGTCCTTCCTTGCAAGATTAGTAAATTTAAGGATACAAGGCACAATTATTCCCACTCTCGTTCTCTCAGCAAAGGGTATCTTCAAGCAGACGACTGAAAACCAAGTCAATTACAAGTCAACTGGTACATTTATCACAAAGTGAGGCTATATTGTTTCCCTTAAAAAGCAATATTCATTCTTTACTTATTCATACGGAAAGTGCTTTAAAGACCTTTGTAGAAACTATTCCCCGATACCCCGATAATAGAAACTCCATGTCCACCTCTGCTCGCAAACGATGTGCACAGAAAGTTTCTGAGCCATCATACAGGAATATAAATTGAACCACAACCACATCAAGGAAAAAGGTAAGAGTTAAAACAACAATAAGGATAGGATAATTCAGGGAAGTTAACGATCAGGAAATGTGGTATCGATACAGTAATTATCGCAATAGAACTTTGGGCCTACATCACTTATAGTCTGAGTAACTAGGACCCTGCAAATCGCATTTCAACACTGACACTGTCAACCATGTTCAAATGTTACAAGAGGTAATTCATAGGGTCTTATATGTAGGCCTAGGCCTGATTCTTTAACTTGGGCTCTATCGTACGTGGCGGTATAGTCACCTCCCAAATCTGAATTTTGGTGTAAATCTTAACAATCATGTATTTTTGTTCTGTTTTCAGGTTATAATAAGATACTTTGATAAGTTTACTTCCATTTCGACGTGGTTTACTCTTCCTTGACATGAAGATTTCTTTCTGATGATAAATTTAAATCAGCCACACTTAGGTGGCCACTTTAGGACGGAATGTGTGTTAGTTTGCCATTACATTAAATGTGCCTGTTATTCTGAAAAATCAATAGCACAGTGATTAACTGCATACCTTTTAGTTTAATCAGTGCAAACCATTCGATACCCCTCCAGCAAAATGGAGGGGGGGATGTATTTACTACAAAAGCCATATGAGAATGGGTCACATGCACTGCTATGGGCAGAGCCTCATTTTCACTCATAAATCCCTGGGCAAATACATTTATAAATGCACCCCGTGCTACACAATGTCGGCAATGCAAAGGGGTGAAAATCTTAGTTACCTGCATTCTGCATGGGACAAAAGCACATTTTAAGGGAGGGGGACCAGTAGCCAATAAATTTGACGAAGGGAACCACAGTTCTTTATTGGAAATATGGTTAGACAAAAAGCCTACTTACGTACGCATGGTTTTGGACATACATGCACCGATACACTTACACAAACGGTCTGTGTCAATAAAAATACACACATTGTAATTTTTTGCAAGCTGCCCTAATTTCGCCAGGCATCAGAGTTTCAACAGTTGCAAAGTCGCCATAACAAATAATACCATTTAAAATAAGATTACACTTGGGAAACCCTGCCTACTGCCTCTTAAAAACAATCTATGGGCATAGCGGAGTAAATCTGAAGATGAAATTGCAATGCTCAACACTTCTATCTTTTTAAAGAAGCCAATTTCACGTCTTTAAATCACATGCATCCTTATTTCCACATCCGGTGGGTTAAGAAATTTGACACATCACCACAACAGACAGAAACAGGAAAATAAACTTGGAAGTAACATTAATTCTTGTGCACTGTTTTAAGCCAGACGCCTCCTGTGTATGCAGCTTATTCATTGTATGCCTGCAACTATTCGGGGGTTATCGGTCAGTCTGAAGCCCCAATCCGATTTTTAATATTGAAACATGGGTTAAAGCCGGGTACCAGTCACAGCCTCCATGTAACAGGTGTGCAACAGACCCTCACTGGAAATCGCACACGCGTAGTGTGTGCACCCAGCTTGGATTCCTATATGTGTGTGAACTTTGCAACTCGAGAATGGACGAATTGCATCTACAACCGTGAAAAACAGGTGTCTCTGAAAGTATTTTCCTTTATTTTGTAGTCCATGGTTTGTTCTGAAATTCCTTAACCCCCCCATGGATGGATAAGGTCATGAAGCACACGTAAACCTGAAATCAGTTTCTTCAACAAGGTAAACCAAGAACAAATTAGAACCAAATATTTGGTTAAAGTTGTACACAAGTCTTAGAACCTGCACGTCAGTTGTAATGTAACGAAGACTGGCGTCCAACCTGGGCTAATATGGGTAAGGGATGTGGTGACTTTTACTGCCATGCACATTTTGCTCGGTCTACAGGTTGACCATGCTGACAGGCTTAGGTTAGCTTGTTAGTTTATGTTACCTAGGCCCCCTAGTTGTATTTTGCACTTTTGCAGGCTAGTCCTATCCTGCTAGTCAGTTGCAGATCCCTAGTGAGAACCCTAATTTGATAATCTGTACGATCAAACATGATGTAGTAGTACAGACTCACCTGCACACCGCTTTCGAGTTTTCTCAGACTCTGAGCTTGAAATAACATACTTGAAGCTGATTTTACAACGCCATGAACGGTCCAGAATTACGGTCCAAACAGGCAACACAGATTGACAGATAGGCCTGTTTACAAGCTCACGTTACAAGGATAATTTTAGGCCCCAACTATTTGTTTTCCGTTACTGATATACAAGGTAACTATTATGACAAGGTAATTTGTAAAGTCCAAATGGCCTTGTTATAACAGTTTTCCACTGTAGGCCTAGGCTACTTAAAAGAAACAAAAAGTTGTAGTTGAACGCCCCAATAGCACTAAGCGTACTCCGTTGCCTTGGCGCTATTTAATTAACTGTAGTCTGGAGCACGAGACTTTATCCACGTATCTCAACAACATGCGTAGAGTACAAGCGGCAAATACCAGATTACATCTATGCGCCGCGCGCCACCAAGTGACGATACCGGTGAATTAAATTATTTTTGCAGGAAGCAGATATAGATGCGGGCGTTGAAATGAAATGACTTCGCGAAGGGGGCCCGATGTAACACAGCACTGACGCGTGTTCCATGCGGAATTTTGGTGGTGAACAAGTAGAAATAATACTTTTCTGATAATTTGTCAACTCCATCCATCCCATGTGCCCCGCCCCCTTATTTACACAGGCAAACGCAAGAGAACCCCGAACTTTTCCATTATCATCGTGTTACTATGACATTTGCTAATGGGGCCGAACACAAGGTATGCCTCTTCAGTTTTTCTTTTTTTCCTTCTCAGAATAATTAATTTCTAAGGCTATAGTAAGATTATTTCTTCATTTATCCCCTGGGTTCATTAAACTGGTTTGTGGTCTTCTTCTTAAAAAAAAGGGTCTCTCTTTGGGAGCCTTTTTTTCTTTCCTTGAGCTGGCTCATAAGTCTATAGACTACACGATGACCCTTCCGAGGACTCAGTTCGGTATCTCACTGCAGGCATCATTTTACAACAGTCCTGCAGAGGTAAAGCGCGCCAATTGCTCGAATAGCACTTCGCAAGTTGTAAACAGTAATTTCGCGCGAGCTTGGTAGTCAAACTGGTCCATGACTGTGCAGAAATTGACAGAATGTGTGTCAGGAAAAATCCTGAAGCTACTCCATGTGTCTGAGTTTTGTAGACTGAACAAAAACTGGCAACGCACGTGTACGTGTATGTTCACCCCTTCCACTTAGTTTGTGCGCATGGGCTAAAATTCGGCAAATCTTAATAATTGAAAGAGTGTTTGAAAAAGGTTACTATGTTATGTCTAAGCTATTGTGAATTGTCCTTCGTTAGTTTGATCAATTTCAATTTTTTCTCTCTGTCAACCAGTCGGCCATTATTTATGTGTGCACATGTGCACGTTCATGTACAAGTAATGTATATGAATGTCGGTCACTTCGGCATCTCGTCAAGTCGGCACCTACCAACTCGGCACTGTGACCGGTTACCCAGTAGGTGTACTCCATCAACGCACGTAAACGTACACACCCTTACACGGCTATACTTGTGGGGTATTTCCTTTGTTCTCGTGTACAAAACTCCCACACAACACACAAAAAATTTCAAATCATTCCAATTTAAACCAAATTCTCTTTCCTGGGTTGAAATTTAGACCGTATTTCCCTGATATAAAACGCTTCAATTTGCGACGGATTTTTACCCATCAAAGATTTCCTCTTTTTGAGTTATTTCCAAATATCAGTTTCGTGAAATTCTTGTCACGGTGGGGTATCAATTTTGGTACCCCACAAGGTAATAACTGGCCTTGTGGGGGTACTTCCCATTGTTCCGGTACCCCACAAGGCCCGATGTATAAGCGCACTACTACGGACAAATGATTATTGTATATATTCAATTTGCAATAACTTAAAAATACTACCGATATTTTTATCGGGTCTTAATACACACGGCACTTTATTTCGTTTGTTTAGATAAACTGGAGACGTTGTTTTAAAATGGGAAAAACCGTGGACGTATTTTCTTTCAAATCTGAGTAAGCTTGTGAGGTTTTTTCGCAAGCTCTCGGACAAGCACTGAGCATACAGTGCTTATTAATATACGTTGGGTAAGGGCAAAACCTGTTATATATAATTAAATCTGACCGTGTTTATATATATTTTTCAAAAACACTTTTCAGAATTTGTTCCAAATTTTGTGCAACTAGCTTCATTATAATACGGTGGTTCAATGTTTTCTGATCAATCTTTAGTTATCTGGTTGTCTCTGTGAACTTCATTTGTTTGTATTGTGTTAAAAATAAATAATGGTCTCCATCCGCGGAAAAAAAGGGTCGGAACGATGTCCGACGTTGCCTTCCTCACTATCCATAGTAAAGTGATCGAGTGTGCATGCGCTAACTTTCATCTAGGTGGTGCCTAAGGGCGTGGGAGTGAACATACGTGCGGCCTCGACAAATCAGGCAGGTTTTGATGATTTGTAATTAATTTGATTGGTGCGTTTCAATAAAAAATGATAGGCCCTAGACTCCTCCTACTTTTGGTTGAGCGTCAGTCAGAATGGGCCGAAACCCGTGATTCACGGTGATTGCCTACTGAAGTCAAACACTGCCGTGCTGTAATTAAACTGTGTATGCACTCTACATTTCAAGAGAATGGCTTAATCTCCTGAATCTCCTCGATTTGCTTTCGCATGACAATCAATTCTTGAATGATCCTGACGCGGTAGGAAATTAAACTTCTGGACTTGGTTAGGACATGAAACCATCATGAAGGTGAGTTTTTAACGTATGTTGGTTTGGGTTGGATAAAGTGCACCCTACACTGTTGTCAAGAGTCGAGAAAAAAGTGCGGCGCCTATTATGAACCTGTGCTAAATATTTAACTGATTCCCCGCTTTTCCCGTGTCTTCATAATTTCAGCTCCAGAAGAATTTCTTCTTTGTAGTGGTTACAGTCTGCGTACTCTTCGGTATAAAAATGCTTTTGGATGACCTCAACATAAGTTCACCCGCTCGACATCAAAAGGCCGTGTTGTTGAAAATAGGAGTCAAAGAGAATGGAAACCCGCGACAAGAATTTCAACGCCAACATGACTTTAGGAATGAGGAGTCTAACGAGGGTGATGTCCGGGTAGCAATAGTTGAGCCTCGCGAGGAATCCTCCGTTCCGCCAACTTACCTAGGCAGCCCCAGTGAAAGCACGCCTCTGGCACGACCAGATATTAACGTGCTTAAGCGTGTTTACACGAGCAAGACACCACTAGAGAACCGGCTCCGTAATAGTTTCCATGATGATGATGTTGCGGAAAAGAAAGGCGGTAAAAACAGCTCCAGCGGCACAAAAGTAATGTCTGAAGACGAAGGCGCACCACGGCTTGGCTCTGCCTCAAGAAATTTGTCGCAGGCTTTGTACAAACTTGCTCCTCAAGTAAGTCAGTTGCTAGTCAAGGGTGGATCCAGGGGCCAATGGGGCCATGTACTCCCCCCAAAAAAAGAACCTCAACAACTTTTACACACATGTAAAGAGAGAAAGACGATTTATTGGCTCATGTAATACTGCTTCCTTCCCAAAGTCTGTAAAAAGCCCTCAAATGTAAATCATCACCTCGCAGAAAGATGATAAAAGATAACATGAAAATATTGTGATTTTACCCCACCCCTACCAAACTACCCCCCCCTGGGGCGTATCCAGCTTTTGCCGGGGGGGGGGGCAATTCGAAAGCGAATACATTAAACATGATGTTGGGGGGAGAAAAATATCAAAGCTTAACTAACGGTCCCAACATACTTGCTTTTATTCCGTGGTATTATTTTCTAAGGGTTTTGTGCAATATTTGATTGAAAAAGCAATAAATGTTTGATACAAAAACATAAAAAAGTAAAAAAAAATCGCTAGGGAGGCAAGTTGTCCCCTGCCCCCCCCCGCTTGATACGTCACTCATCCCCACCCCGACTAGTTGATCTGGATCTGCCCTCGTTGGTAGTACATTATGCTGTACGTGTAGTAATGTTTTATTATCAATGCCTGTATCCTCAGGAACCATTGCTACATAAGCTCATGAACACACCATATGGTCTGATACCTTTAATTAACAAGTGTCACATGACATGGCATGAGGCAGGAGTTACTGATTACTACTACATGTACATGTACAGCTTACAAAGTTGGTGGTAGGCTGGCAGGCCTTAGCGAAGATTAGGTGTCGGTGGTGGTGCTACATTTGTTGATGGTGATTGGTGATGATACAATATTTTGGGGTTCACTGCAACAACAAACATTTAAACATGTACATCTAACTAACTTAGTAACAATTATAAGAAATCCAATAAATCATTTTCCACTGGAAAATAAATACAGGTAGGCCCTGTTTCACCTTTGACCCAAAAGTTTGTGAATCACCAGAGGGCGTCCTAACAGATTACTGGTGAAATACCCTGTTGATCAAATAACTTTCAATCGCGACATACATGCATCAGTAAAAATGTGATGCAAACCTTAGAAGAAGAATCAACAATTTAATAACAACAAAACACTAGCATGTTGCCAAAACATGAACAGGCCGCATTGAATCTGTTCATTTTTCTACACCTTTAAGCGGCAAACCCTAACTTCAAAACACAGGATATGAAATAAAGCGCTGCTTTCTGCAATATGATGGGATCATAAAATACAAGCACTCCGCCCAATTTCCACGTCGCCCCAAACCACTTTGCCCCATTCCCACTTCGCCCTATGCCCACTTCGCCCCGTCCTTGCTCGAGGGTGTTACAAGCACAAGCCTCTCCAAAGAATGGTCCAGAGAGGAGTTCCACAAACGGCATGGAGTTATACGTGTTTCTAGAAAACTCTCCCCCATTCACTAAATTAATGTCGACTGCGTTGTCCATGGTGAATTAATGCATATGGTTGGACTAGCATTGGGTTTATTTCTCATCCTTCTCTAGTTTTTTCAAAGCGATAGGCCTACACAATTCTGTGCACATCGTTGTTAATTGTCGATGCATCCAGACAGGTGGGCCGCGGATAAACGTCGGCGCGCCACGGCACGAAATTTTGTACGAGCAAAACAGCCTAAAATAAACTCATGAACACAGAATATACACACATACAAGATACCATGTTCTGAGAATTAACTTGAAGAAATCTTGCAACATCGATGTTTTTTTCGATGCGTGAGGTCACGTACATGTACGGTTCCCCTGGGATGAATAGACTGGTTGCCACACTCCATTACGCATTCTTTTGCATGCGTGTGGCGAGGCGGGAACCTATTTGGCCTAAGAGTTGGCCAAAGGTTGGCAATGGGGCGCTTGAGGTACTTATGGCGTTCTCTCACCTCCATCTGTCGAACCTTTCCTGTCCTTTCTGGGTAGGCTTGCATCACTTTGCCCAGCGGCCGCTGTCCACAGGGCTCACCGTCTCCAGCAACTAGCACCAGGTTGTTCACCTCCAGATCTTGCTTAGCCTGGGTCCACTTCTGACATAGCTATAAAAAGTGGTAGGTATCCTCCCTTCCACTGCCTTCAGAACTAGTCTGCGAGGAATTGTGCTTGTCATTACCCGTGCTGACCATAACAATCCATCTACACAAATACTCCAGGTGGGTGCTGGGACTCGGTCTCGACAGAAATTAATGGTTTGGTGTCAATGGCTCCTCGTCTCTGGGGTCCAGGCTGAGCTGGGTAATAAGTGGTCTCGCATTAGCCTCCACTTCAGCAACCACAGTAAGTAGTGCCTCATCACACACCATGTGCTCTAGCTTGAAGTACATTCTTCAGGATCTTACAAATGGAACGCACCATACATTCCCAAACACCTCCCATGTGACTTGCTTTTGGGGGCCGGGACTGAACTGCCGTTCACTGAAGAAAATTCCCATCTTCTACTGGTTCAGGGATACGATATTCTCGAAGCTCACGCTCCGCACCTGTGAAATTGGTCCCATTGTCACTTATGATCTTTTCAGGTGCACCTGTCCAACTGATGAGCCGCCAAAGGGTATTTATGAATGCATCTGTGTCAAGTGAGTGAGTAATCTCTATGTGTAAAGCCCTCACTCTGAGACAGGGGAAAGTGCATCCATATCTTTTGACATGACTGTGCCACTGTTTCGCATAAAGTGGACCAAAATAATCCACCCCAACGTATACAAAGGTTGGCTTGTCTGGGGTGTTGACAGCTGAGTGCATTCTCCTCTTACACGGGAAACGCCTTCCAATCACTCGCCTCAAGGTACATGCTCCTTTCAGAACCCAAAATAATACCCATCAGCCTTGGTAGGTCATTCAGCCATTGCTTCCATCTCATCATCTCTCGTTCCTCTATCTTTTCATCCCAGCCACAGCCCTTGGGACACACATCTTGAAGAAGAATCTTTGCTGGCAGGATGACTGGTGCCAAGAAGCCCACGCGTACTTGGGTGGGACTCGAACCCAAGACCTCCTGCTTACTAGTGCAGACGCCTTAAACATTCGACCACCGAGCTTGCTGGTGCCAGCCACTGAGATGGGTCAGATTCATTCTGTATCTTTGCAACATGGTTCGCTACAAACGTATGAAACCTGCGACTCATTCGAATATACTGAAGAACTGATGTAGTCTGTCCAACATACTGTCTCTATGATGAGCAGGCACATCTCCCTCTGGATTAGCTGATTCAACTTCACTGCCGGTGTCGGCTGGCTGGTTTGAATCAGATGTTAGCTTGAAATAATTCTTCCAGGAGCAGGAGGTCGTGGGTTTGAGTCCCACCCGAATACGCTTGTGGTTTTTCACAAGCCCTAGGGGGCATACACTGAGCATACAGTGTTAAAATGCACGTCGGGCAGGGCAAAAAATCCTAAATTAATTTACATCAGTGCACCTACCAGATTATTCGTGAAAACTGGTCCTTAAGGGAGCAACTGGTCATTCAGTGACACACCCTTGTACTTGGCACTGTAATCAAATACCACCCCGAGTTTGTCTGGGGTTTGTGGGTGAAACACTGGATGGTTGGGGTAGATACCGTACTGCCTGTCGTACTGTTGCCATTTCTACACCTCTTGGTGGCTGCTCATCAGTGGTAGTCTCAGGTGTGAGACAGGGACGCCTCGATGGAGATGTTTCCCTTGCACACCCTTTCTCAAAGTAGACATCGAGGGTTTTCTTATACTTCTCGTAAAGACTGGGGTCTCGTTGAAGTGGCCTCTTTAATGACTTTACTCTTAACTCAGCAAGAGTGCGGTTGTCTGGCAAACTCGGATTATGGCAATGCCATGGTAGACTGACCTGGTAGTGACCTTCAACGCTTGTCACTGTTTCTTCCATGATGGTCTTTGCTCGCTTATCTTCTACCAAGTCAGCAGCTTCAACATCAACCATCTGGCCACCGAAGTCTGGCTCTCAGAATTTCTCAACTGCTCGCTGTAGCAAATTGTCTTCATGCAGAATATGATTTACAATGAAACTTGACTGTTTCTTGGTCGAGGTTGTTGGCCCCAGAAGCAAAGACCGGACAGCATAGGGCTCCTTTTACTTACCACGTCTCTTCTCCAGAACCCAGAAAACTTCTCGGACGTCTACTCCTATCAGCAACATAACTTGATTCTCGATGTTCTTGGGAAAGTTGTTTCCATTTAAGTGTGGCTACAGTGTGACGTCTTCTTCCCTGGGGAAGCTGTTCCCAGCAAACACATTGATGTTTTTAGAAGGTGATAGACATGTTATGCCTAATGTTTCATAATATTCTACAAAAAAGTTATGGTGACATGGTCTCAGAAACATTTTAATAACATTTTAATGATATTAAGGGATATCGTTGGCGAAACATCTTTCCGATGGGGGTTAGCATGATATTAACACATGAAAATGATGTGTTAATGGCAATATTGTCATTATATTTTGAAATGACGTTATAGCGACTGATCTTAAAAACATTTTAATGACATTTTTATGATTTTTTACGAAAAGTTTGGGCAATGTTTAAATTAAATCATATTGCTATAACACTAAAAAAAAATCAAAAATAAGGTCATATGACCCCATGACATTTGCAATCCGCTGAAGTCAGCACTTCTTGTCTGTTTTCCAAACAACGTGCAGTTTCATTCAAATCCTAATTTTATACTGGTTTCTGAAACGAATGAAACCAGTTTTGTCCGAAGCGTAATCTGTCATTCACTCCTGAAATTGAAACGCATATTAATTAATACACAAATAGGTGTACACGTATGTTCACCCATCACTGCCGCTGTATCAATTTAGTTATACATGATCTTGTATGAGATTGTATGGAGCGGCGCATGACATGGGTAGCCATAATCCAGTCCTGCCTCCTACGATATGGCTTCGAATTTTGATCAAAACAGGCAGCGGTGGAGAGCCGTAGCCAGTGTTCGATACTTGTGCATGCCGTAGTCTCACATGGAGACGCCGCACCGCGTGTT